ATTTTTTAAAAGGCAAAAACAAGTGTTCAGGATTGTTGGCACGTAACAGGAAAGAAAAGGCAGAAAGCTATAACAAATCAGCGTTATTTTGAGCAGCTGTTTATATATCTTAAATTGTATGCTTCTGTACTTAAGTGTAATTAATTGGAGGTGTACCAAACTAAATTCTTTAGTCTTTGTTTTTCACAGAGACCAATAAAACAAAGTGTGACTAAACAACCATTAAAATCATGAGTCATCCTGGTGAAAAGCTCGCCACACCCAGTAGATTGTCTGTTCAATGCATTTCCTGCAGGACTTCAACTCACAATGAAAACTTCCAGATATTATTTGCAGTGAACTCAAAAGTCATTAAAACCTTGCTGTGGACGACATTCTGCTTCAGAGGCTCCAGCCGCTGTTGTAAACACTCATCCTGTAGATTGCAAACAGACAAACAAATAGAAAAGCTTCATGAACAGCAAGTGAGGCGACAGACTGCACATTCAATATGTTTCATCCCCACAAAGTGTAAAGTGCCTTTAAATAAAAAGGCCTTTCTTCTTCTTAATCCCTGTTCTTGTACTGACGTGTTCTATACTTCATTGTTCAATAGTTTATGTTAACTTTGTCACATGAATCTGTTTCTTTTATCCACTTTTACAGGAATCAGCTCAGATTATGTCAGAGGGCAACTTATTTCATCAAATATGTAAACAGTCAAGTTGCAGGTTGTTGTGTACGTGTTGACGAATGGCTGCTGTGATGTTGTGAGTCTTTTATAGTTAGTTGGTGTCGTTAACTCCAGTGAACACAACCACAAATCCTTTTGAATGCAAACCTGCACTACGGACACACTGTTTGGTGTTTGACCTTAGTTTTGTTCTGGTTCTGTTCCGGTTCTGTTCTGTGGATTTGTTTGCAGTGATTTGTTCATTTGTTTTCATGTTAAATTAAGATGAAACGTTTAATTAAAATGTTAAACAAAAGTAAGAATGCCTGCTTTTGTAACATAAAAATATACCAAATTAGGTCATGATTAGGCTTCTAATAAAAACACTAAATTCAAAAGGGTTTATCAACACACAAAGCATTCATATTTGCCAAGTTAGGCTCAAGTATGAGGCTACAGATGATAATAAATTAAGAACCGAAAGAGCCGGCTCTTCGAAAAGAGCCGAACTTCTCATCACTACAAGAAATGAGGAAATGCAGAAAAGGTAAAACTAACCAGCCTTATATCACAAACATGGCATTATTCTGTCTGACTGGTAACTTCGAGGAAAAGGTGTGACTGATACGTTCCTCAAGTTTTACTCATGAAGATACAAGAACGTTTGCTCTTGGGTTGTACAAACCATTTGTGCTCACTGTTATGAAAGAATTAAAATTTTTATGTCACGCCCTAAACCAAAGCAAGAAATGCAATGCCAGGAATGCTTCTCAGCCAGTTTGTCTCTTACAGCAGGTATCTTTCATAACGCAACTAAACTTTATGGTAACATGGATTCCCTGCTCCAGAGTCCAGTGTCTGAACACTGTAACCAAAAAGGAGCCATTCAAATGCATAAATGAGTTTCATCGAAAATACATTGAACTTCATTCTGAAAAAAGCCAAAACAACAACAACAACAAAAGAACTAACAGCAGGAAAAGCACATGCAGGATGAGCATCCTTTGACAATAATCTGTCACAGTCTTTAAATTCAGCATTTTGCATTGACGATCATGTTGATTGAAAAAAGGGAAACTTGGATGCTTTTCAATGAGTCCGATAGTGACTGCTCTCTACTTTGTTCTAAATGTTTTGCATGATCCCTTGAAGTATGAACTGATGTAATCTCTAATATCACATGCAATATTTACCACAATGTTGGAATTCACAAACCCTGTTGCATCTTGTGCTTAATTTTCCATTTTGTTTCACCAGAACTTAGGATTTTTTCTGTCATTGTGTTTGTCATGACTGACAGCAGCAGCGAGGACTCTGATCTGTGGTTTGATGTTCGTCACGAAGTCACGTTTTTGAAAAATGTATCAAGTTCGAGTCACGCCTCTGGACTTCATTCCATTCAAATAAGTAAAGACGACAATCGATGTGAGCTGTCACATGAAGTGAAAAGGTTTGCAGGATCCCACATGTGAACTGGACTCAAATAAAACATGGAAACTAGTTTAGAAGCCACCTACACCAGATAACACCAGATCATCTTGCTACATTTCATTTTGGGTAAGTGTAATTGTACACATTTATACATATATTCATATTGTGTTCATTGCTGTTTAATATTTGTGTATTTTGATATTTATTTGTTGCACCATATATTTTTAAAACGCCCCCTGCTGTGATGCTAAAACATGTGAATGCATTCCTATTCCATACCAATAATATATGTCACATATTATGTATTAATAGTCCAACAGCCTGTGGTAAGGTGTTGTGAAATCCTGCTTCACTGGCGTCTCTCGAACTCATATTGTACAGAAATTTGAAAAAGGCTTCACAAATTAAAATATCATCATTATTATTTTCTGTTTCAATATTGTGATATAAATCTATTGTTACTGCATATGAAGCATTTTTTGTTTCACTAGCATGAACTGCATGAACACACAATCATTTACAGGCATTTTGTTTTGTGGGTTTATTGTAATCATCATATTTGTATTTTCTTTTGTGTTTTTCTTTTTAAACAGTATTTTTATTGCACTTTTTCTACACATGGATGAAAATGACAAAAGAAAGAGGAGAAGAAAAAACCAAACAAGGAAACAAACAAACAGATAAACAGAAATCACAAAACACAGAGAAAATTGGGTGTACAAAGGCCAGCAGTATGCATCGTTACAATCCAACAAGCTTTCAGGGTTGAGGTGAGTGGCCCACTGTGGGCATGTTAGAGTGGTCGCCCGGCTGGGCAAGACGATCTATGAATGGTTGCCAGATTGTGTAAAATTTATGAGGATTGTCTGTCACACCGTATCGGATTTTCTCCATATGCAGTAAAGTGCTTAGGTCCGTTCGCCACGCCTTGAACTGAGGCGCAGTGTCCGATTTCCAGAGCCTTAGAATCAGTCTCTTAGCGATTACCATTCCATACATGACAGCACTCTGCACTGAGAGGCTGTGATTTTGGAGGGACATAGAATAGCCAAACAGCGCCATCTCTGGGTCAGGGATAAACATACAATCATACATTTCATAAAACCATTTGAATATTTCACACCAGAAGTTGTGTAGTTTTGGGCTGATCCAAAAAAGGTGGGCAAGAGAGCTCTCAGCAGATCTGCACCGGTCACACACGGTGGAGATTGTAGGATAAATTCTATTTAATTTAACTTTTCAGTAATCAAGCCTGTGCATCACCTTAAATTGAATTACCTGGTGTCTAGCATTAATGGAACAGGAACGAATTCAGCCCTCCCCCCAGACATCATTCTCATCAATGTGCAGTTCCAGCTCTTTTTCCCAGGCCTCTCTCAAAGTGCGTCCAAAAGCTAACGTGTTCATAAAATATTTTGACATAGTTTGAAACCAAACCTTTGTAGTCAGGTGGTCCCACGAGGAATGTGTAAACCATTTTTCCCTCGGGGAGGTTTTCATAACTAGGCATACACTGGCGGACATCTGATTTTCTGTATGGTCCTGCTGGCTTGTAAACCTCGCAGTTGTCGAACAAGTAGTTTCTGAGGCGTGTCCCCCAGTTCAAAATGTTTGTTTTAGTTTCAACAATTGGTCCTGCATCTGGTCAGACAAAATTGTGTGAAATTCATACTTCAGTTTAAGAATATTCCCTAGTGTGGAAGGGTTCGGAGAGGACTTATAGTTTCCAAATGTCTTTTTCAATCTCCAGAAGACTTTTTTTCTTTTCTTTTTTCATAGAGGTTTCAAAGATGATTATATGTCCTCTGGTTACAGCCTTAAAGGCCTCCCATAAGGTGGAGTCTGTGACCTCCAAGTTATCAGTCACCTCCAGAAACTCTCAAATCTGCTGTTTTCTGTGGTTAAGGTCAGGGACCAAAGACACTGGAGGGTGATCTGAAATTAGAATATTGTGATATGTGGCTGAAATTGCATTTGATGTCAAATTAGAGTCAGATAAGAAATAATCAATCCTTGAGTAAGAGTTATGTATCTCTGACAGAAATGAGTAATCCCTAACTGTAGGATGCTGAAGTCTCCAGATGTCAACAAGGTTCATGGAGGACATCAGGTTGTTTACGACAGTGGAGGCAGCAGAAGGCGACTGATTCATTTGAGATGATCTATCGAAAAAGTTATCAAGTACACAATTAAAGTCACCACCAACAATCACGTGTATCAGAGGGACTGACCAATAAATTAAATGTCTTGCTAAAGAAGTTTGGGTCGTCAAAGTTTGGGCCATATACATTCAGAAGTGTAACATGAAAGGAATAAATGCAGCCTGTTACCAGGCTATAGCTACCATTTGGGTCACTCACAGTAGAAATATGTCTGAATGGAATAGTTTTGCGAATCAGGATTGGCACACCACAGGCTTTGCTAGACAATGTGGACTGGAAAATCTGATTGGCCCAGCTCCATCTGAGCCACTTTTCCCTTGTGGGTTTGTTATGCATTTCCTGGAAAAATACAATATCAGCAGATACAGATTTTAAATGAGAGAAAACTTTTGCTTGTTTCAGCACATACCCCATACCACGAACATTCTAGCCAGTGAAAGTAATGCCACCACCTCTTTGAGAGGGACGAGGATGCATATACAATCAAAATGATGACAATGTATGCCCTGAACACACTCAATACGTGAACACAGAAAATAAAACAAGAGTCCAAACCAGAACACTGAGAACCTTGCCCCCCTCCCACCGACCCACCCTCCCAAACAAAGTGGGCACACATTCCCTAAAACTGCACAAAAAATAAAGCATTACTAACTACAATGTGACTGTGCTGTCACCAGTCCTGTCGCCTCCTCTCCATGTAGAAAAAAAACAACATTGGCAGTCATAATAGTTCAGTGCCACATACCAGCATCCAGTGTATGTGAAATGTACAGGGCAGTGTCTCTGCTTTGTTTTCATGCATGTCTGCTCAATTTGTGAGAGGTGGCGGCTGTAGTCTGAGTGAGCTTCTTCAACTTCAGCTCGACGGTTCCCCAGACTCACCAAAGATGCTTGGGTGGATGCTCGAGTGGCCTCCAACATGTCAAATCTCTCAGTCATCATTTTGTTCATGCTCCATATTGCCAGAAGAATGTTTGAAAGCTCTGTATCAGGGGTCGTCACATGATGCTAGTGATGCTGTAACTGCTGTAGAATGATCTGATAGCTTACATGGTAGCTGAACTTCGGACTCGTTAGATGCTTTGTCCAACTTTTTTCCGCAGTCTGTCTTTGGTTTAGTCGTCTCAAATCCAAATCAAAGTATGAGGACGAAAAATAAAAGTGACCAACCAAGAAAATATGAAGCAAATCACTGCGTAATTTAAAAGATGGAGAGAAGCTAAGCCAAAACACATCTACTCCATCTGGTACTTACTAGCGCCCCCTGTCATATTTGGATTTTCTCAGAAGTTCTTCATAGAAGTCAAAATTTTGTTTAACTACAGTTGCTTAACCTTAAAAAAGTATGTCTTAGGACATGGACTGTTCAGTCTGTTTAGCAGTACTATACATTACAACAGTACTACACTTAATTATTGAAAGCCTACTTGGCAGATTCAACAGTGTGTATTTGCACAAAATGATAGTCTTGTTTTTTTAAAGCAAAATCTAAAACACAAACAGAAACACACAAGACCACGATTTTAGTTGATTTTGATGCATTTTAATGCTCACAAGGATTCAAAGCTTAACTTAAAAACAGCAATGATCCTTGTACCTGTGAAAACCAACAACAAGTTTCATCTTTAATTTTGTAGATTCACCAGAAGACAAAATGGGTGTTGGATTGATGACATCAATTTTGCTGGTGCTGACAGGTGAGCTGAATGATGTTAAATTCACTGCCTGTTGACTGTCTTGTAAAACACAAAGAAAAAAACACACATTCCGAATAACAACACACACACACACACACACACACACACATTTTAATGGTTTGAACTTTTCCAATATTGCTTATTTGTGAACACTGACATTGTGTTGTACATTAAATAGGTGTACTGAGTTCACAATTATTAATAATTAACCAGATATCTGCACTGAGAAAACATGAATGTGACGCAACTATAGCTTAAAGCCAAGATGGACCCGTTTTAAAAAAGACTTTCTATCCCGTTGCAAAACCAGTGCCGAGGGAAGATGTTGTGACATCAATGGCAGAAGCAACAACCACAGGATCTATGACAACAGCTGCAACTGGAGGGATGGCAACAAGTGCCTCAGCAAGAACGGGAGGTTTGACGACAGCACGAGAGTCAACTACGACAACTGGTGGAACAACAACTGAAAATGTTCCCATCCCGGTTGTGGTTCTTGGACTAAATTATTTAAGACGGTTTAAAGATAACTTCAATGACAGGAACAGTTCACACTTCAAACTCATTGAGGGAGTAATCATTCATGACGTGAGTACATTATTATGAGGAGTTCTTTCAATGTTTCCCGTGGATTTTCATTTACAAGAAATGTATAAATGATGAAAGTTGTGTCTCCTTATTTCCCACAGTTTGACAACTTCTTCACGGCTCAATATGGCTTCCTCTTTGTTGGCACTTCTGTCAGACTGTTTCGGTAAGAGTTTCCATCGTGGTGTTTAACTCACTTTATTTGTATTGATCTAACTGTGTTTTCAAGTAGATTGTAACATACAAGACACATTTATATGTAGGCGTGAGTTTTCAGTGTTTACTGAGATGTGTGCATTCTTTGGATGCAGTCCGGTTCCAGGCAACGATGGCATGAACAACACTGCAGAAGAAGTCAGGCTTATGTTCGATAGTTCTGCGGCACCTGCACAGCTGCCAACTCCTGTAGCTGTTATGCAAACGCTGGTGGAGGCCGTGTCCGATCCCAACAACACCTTCATCGTTAGCATTCAACCTGAGTCCATCAGAGTACTTGGTGAGTAAAGCGCAGCTATAGCTATACACTTGACTTCAGTTGGTGTTCAATCAAGGAATACATAGTATCATTCACTTTGGAGTGTCCGTGTCAGGAGATAGCGCTTCTTTGTCTTTAGGCCACCACACCAGTGGCCTGTTTAATCAACAAATGAGCAGTTACTTGCTATGAATTTGGATTTGTAATGGAGGTTTGAATCTCAGCCCAACAGACCAAGCCTTGTTACATGTCTTGTTCCAGTCAAAGGTGGAGTGTAAAAGTGGTCTTCCTCCTGTCCACAGTAGCACTGCTCTTGCTTCCCATGTTATTGCTGAGACCTTTCCTGATCCGTGGGCGTGCTCACTCAGACAGTGGGCATCTCCGCGTTAGCTAGTAGAGAGTACTGCTGGGGTTTAGCTAGCAAGAGGCCACCGTGCCAAAGACTTGTGTGATGCCTGGTAGCCTGTGTTCAGCGTTGCTGTATTAAAGACAAGGTGTGAGGGATTAGGACCACGGTGCGACTATCTCAGAGGCATGTGTATCTGATCTGTCCCTGGGACTGACTTTGACATGCCATATGACGTGGCAGTTGACTAATATGGGGACATAAGGACAGGACAAATGCCCACTGAAGTCATTTGACTGATGGCACTGCACTCTGATGATGAAGAAACTTACCTAAAATGTGCCAGCCTGGTGTCCTGGTACAAACTATCCTCTGTCCTTACGAAATCTGCAGAACAGTGGAGGTAAAGACAAAAATGGGGATGGGGTTCGTGCTCAGGCAAGGCCACACCAATAAGTTAAACAAATGCTTGATGGGCCCACGATACTGGTGACTAAAATGGGACAGGGACATCCTTCATGTTTTGTCATCTACCTGTTTGTTCCGTCTAACCGCTGCAGAATCTACCTTACCTGGAGCATCAACAACCACAACTGCTGGATCAACAACAACAGGCGCACCGACTACAACTGGTGGTTCGACAGCAACTGGAGCGACTGACGTTCCCTCAGCATCTGTGCTTCTCCAAGCAACTCTAGAAGAAGCCTTTGTAGAAGAATTCACTGACAGAAACAGCACACAGTTTCGGAATCTGGAGGAAACCACCACACAATTCGTAAGTACAATGTTGAAAGCAGATTTTTTCAGTGGTTCCTGTGCTTTCTGCTGTTTTTCTTACAAAACCTACTCATACCTTGCTATGTGCTTGTCTCCCACAGTGCGATCAGATCTTCTTTGTTGAATTTGGCGACATTTTCATGGGCACTGTTGTCTTAAGGTTTAGGTAAGATATTCTGTTTTGTGGTCAGACTGACTTTCCTTGTCATGGTT